ACTTTAAATTATATGCTATTCATAAATAGTTAAATAAACTTAATTGATTTAAAACTCAACGTGAATAATATAAGTGATACATAAATAAAATTAATTATTAATGTAAAAATTGATATAAATTATATTATATAAATTTGATAAATAACTCGCAAAAAATTTAAAATTTTACCACCATAAACATAAATTCTTGACTCCATCCTTGCACGTAAGCACATACATAGATATTAGTAAACTTGAACACGTGTCATCCACTTCGATGCAAGGAAACTATTGAAAAAAATAACAATAAGATTACTTTGAGGTCACCGAATATAGAACCTTAGTTAAAATCAAGAAGAAGAACAGAAGCATACTTCAATTCGTAGCCAATCCGGTCCAGCCCGTAGGTTGAAAGAATAAATATTCAGTTTGTGCCTTATACAGGTTGTATGTGATGTAATACTTATCAATCATCACTTATTTATTTATTCTTTCAAACGATTTGGTAGGTTTCGTATTCGACGTCATTCTCCCATTCTTCTATAAATACACTGTGATGGTGAGCAAAAGAAAATTTCAATGCATTTCATTCCCAAGGAGATGGAGTCACATGCTCAAGAAAATGCTGGGGTCCAGGCGCTCGCTTGCAAATTAAAAACAAAGATTGTATCCATCACAAACAGCTACATACAGTTAGGAAAAGATGATCCCAGAAGAGTCTTGCACTCCCTCAAAGTGGCTCTTGCTATAACAGTGGTTTCCTTCATATACTACAGCGACGAACTCTTTAATCAGTTCAAGTTCAATGGAATATGGGCAGTGATGACTGTGGTTGTTGTATCTGAATTCACAGCAGGTAATTCAATTGAGTTTAAGTGTTTATTTATTTATTTATTATCAGCAAGTTTGAGCCTTTATAGTTACTGTAAACATTTATAAGATCTTGTTTGGCAAAGCTTTTTTTTTTTTTTTTGGGTATTTATATATATGTACATTTTTCTTTTTAGAGTATTAAAAACATGGAGGAAAATAGGGGAAACATTATATTTTCATCAAAGTGTTTTTCAGTACAGGCTACACTTTTTTGTGTAACTTAAGTACTGAAATTATCACAACACCCTTAATGTAACAGCCTTCTATGTTTACTCATGAATGATATTTTGGTAATTTTAGTACCTAAACTGCACAAAAAAATACAGTTTTTACTGAAAAACACCTTTCTCTTATTATTTTAACATTTCAAATTCTTAAAATCAAATTGTTTTTTTTCAATCTAGATAATATGCAGTTGGAGCTATGAAAGTGTTAAAATCCCTATTGAATAAGATTCAATAATAACTTATTTAGTTTGAGGGGAAAGGAAGAGCAGAAATTTCTCTATTGGATAAAAAAACAAAGGGGATGGATTTTCTTTTATTTTGCTTTAATTTTCTTTGCATTTTAGTATATCCAAACAAGGGAAACGTAGGGGAGGCCTCAAACCAAACAGGCTATAAGGGTGTTTTGATACTTTCATAATCTGGACTGCGCCTTTTTTCTGTGTGATTCATACTGAAAAATTCCATTCCTTTTTAAGTTTTAGAGAAAAAGCGTTTATAAGTAGCACCAAAAAATAAATCTGCCAAACGGACGCAAGTCCTGACCATAAATCAACTTTTTTTCTTTTTTTCTGGAATCGTGCAGGGGGAACTCTAAGCAAGGTTTTAAACAGAGGATTTGCAACATTTTTGGGTGGTGCACTAGCATTTGGAGCACATGAGTTCGGAAAATACATAGTTGGCAAGCATGTTGGGCCACGATTTAGAAGCAGAGCAGAACTTATTTTTGTTGGACTCTGCGTTTTCATATTGGGTATATACCTTATTCTTTTAAAAATATATATTTACTTTCTCAAAAGTTTCTCGTTTTCATGATTAAGAGAACTTGAAATTACTGCTCAGCTTATGCATGAATCCTTTTGCAGTTGCAGGAGCTACATTCACACGATTTTTCCCACGTATTAAGGCAAGATATGATTATGGGTGTATGATCTTTATAATGACTGTTAGTTTAGTTGGTGTTGCTGGGCCCAGAGAAGGAGATTTTGGGGTGGCTATCGAAAGATTGGAAACAGTATTAATGGGCGGAGCGGCCTGTGCTATTATATCTGTTTTCATTTTTCCAGTATGGGCTGGTGAGGAACTTCACAATTCCACCGTTTCCAATCTTGAAAAACTTGCTAAGTACTTAGAAGGTAGAGTATATAGCCCCTTTTCCGATTAATATCAATCAAGTCCTAATTTTCTTTTTCAACAAGTTAAAGTTTTGAATTCGAGGCAACTAATCATACAGGATTTGGAGATGTGTATTTTGGGCCTCGCTATAATGGGAAGGCTGGAAAGAGAAAGGAAAATATGTCACTTCCTCTAGAATACAAGTCTGTTCTCAATTCAAAAGCGAAAGAAGAAGCTCTGGTATAGTTTTACTACTCAGATTCCTTTATGCTAAATAAGAGCCTTAAAAGGCAAACCAATTAATTAAATTTACACTCAACTTCAGGCAAATTTTGCTGTGTGGGAACCTTGGCATGGCCGATTCCGTTTTGGTTTTAATTATCCCTGGAAACAGTACTTGAAAATTGGAAATCAAGCTCGGGAATGTGCCTGTTTGATTGAAGCTATTAGTCGCCAAATAAACTCCGATATCCAAGTAATATTTCATATTCCTTTTATTTAATTCTCAAGTTTCGAACAAACATTTAAAGAAATTATGTTCCAAGAGAAATACTACTTGATTTTTTCTTAGTAATCACAAAACTTAGATTAAGAGTTCCTCCCGTATGGCAGTTTAAGATTTAAGGCCAGGGGTTAGGTTATTTTCAGAGTAGACATTTGATAAATTTGTTTATTTGTAAATTACTATGAAGTAGGTATTTGACATAAGAAATTGGCTTCGTTGGTAAATGTCTAAATGGTCTATTCCCCCACCTTCTTGACTAACGTCAATGACAAAGTAATATTTCATCAACCTTACAAACATAACCCATATAAATGGCCAAAAACCCCAGATTTTTAGGCCTAATATATATCTACCTCATTTCTTAACTTTTTTTTTTTTAATAGACCTTTCTTAACCATTTTAAGGGCCTGTTTGGTGTGGCTCCTAGGAACTTCAACTTCTGGACACTATTCATATCTCATGAATTTAAATTTCTCTCTTAAAATCTTACACTTTTAAATATTTTTTTAACTTCAAAAAGCTCTTAAACAGTAAAAGTTCAAAAATTTCAAATCCAAATTTCTCATAAACTCTCTTTTTACTTACTTTTCACTTACTTTTTCACCTTTCTAAAAACTAAAGCTCTATTTTTCCCTCCAATAAAAATTTAAATTTATCACTCATAACAGTCCTCAAAAAGCAAAAGCTCTCACAATCCACACCAAACAGGCTCTAAGTGTGTAATACATTGAAAAAAAGCTTATGATCAAAATATCTATCTACTCATACTAATTTTATAGCAATTTTTTAGCGTATAATAAAAGATACAAGATTATGTTATTAACAAAGATTTAAGATTTAAAAGATAAAATTTATGCGAAGTATGGTAGATATAACTCATGCAACATCTTTTATACCCAAAATCGAAATCTAAAAATGAAAATTGTACATACTAAACTTAAAAATTTTCAAGAGTTTAGGGGGGCAAGTGCCCCCACCCACACCCGTTTGCCTCCGCCCCTGGCTCTCACCTTGACAAACACTTCGAACTTTCTCAAAACTTTCAGCTCCCTTCACCAGAGCAACCTAGGAAGAGGATTAGAAAACTGGTAAATCTCCCATGCGCCAATAAGGAGGACTAAAGTCCCACAAGCAGCACTGAAACCCTTGAAAGAGTAATAAGACTAATAGAAAGGATGTGTTTCAGTTCCCTGGGAATGATGATTTGCATTAATTCAATTCTTTAAAATTGCTGTAAATTAGAATAAACGTGTAGATATATAAAAAAATAATAATAATTAAGAACCAATTTTAATTTAGTCCTTAAATTCTTTTTGTCTATTCCAATCAGTCCACTTTTTATTTTAAGAACTAAATCATTTAATTCACTTTTAGATAAAAGGCTTTTAGTAATAAAAGAAAGGGAAAAGCCAAGACATTCTAATATTTTTAGTGTCAAAACGTGTCAAATGATAACTGCATTTGATAAAATTAGAACACACACTATACCTAACATATTTAATAGTTATGTTTAAATATGTTGATATTTTTTATATCAAAACATCTTAATTTTTTCTTTTCTCTTAGTAATAATTCTTGAGGTTAAATTTTAAGACAAAATTTTTGAACGAAATTATTTAATCATTTATCATGTAAGCTCATATAAATTTTACACCATATGATTAATGACTATCATAATTTTATTTTAAATTTTCGTACTAAAATTTCATCCTAAAAATAAATTCGGCATAACTATAATTATTCAAAGTTTTTCAAACCGTGAAAACACAAACAATTTTTGGACTCCATTCTGACAGAACTAGAATGTTTGGTTTATGCATGACTAATGTATTCATTTATTTAAAGGAGCGTAGAGGAAAATTTCTTCCAAAAGCTTTGTACTTTGAAAACTAATTTGCTAACTTATTATGTTCTTTGCTATTGCAGCCATGCTCTGAATTTCAAGCCAAAATTAAAGAATCATGCAGAAGGATGAGTGCACAAAGTGGCAACGCATTGAGAGAATTAGCCATAGCAATTAAAACAATGACCGAGCCATACTCATCCACAGAAACAAGTCTGAATGCGTCCAAATCCGCCATAAGGAGCCTCAAAACAGCTCTCAAAGGTCTCTCGTTCGATGCTCCAGACCTCCTAGCAATCTTACCAGCTGCCACGGTTGCTTCAGTCCTAGTTGAGGTCGTTAAATGTGTGGAGAAGATCTCGACATCAGTCCATGAACTTTCCAATCTAGCACATTTCAAGACTCTGGAACCTCTTGCAAAGGAGCTCAAGCCAGTCTTTCCCATAAACTCGGTTCCAAATGATGATATCGATCTCGACAAAATCATCGTTATAAAATTAGTTCCACATCCGATGCATAACGAGCCAATTCCTAATGGACACGTGTAACCATGCCAACCAATCCAAAGAGGTTGAGGAGCTGGATGATTGTTGTTAACACCATCTAGCCAGTGCTTTTAAAATGAAGGTATTAGATGAAAAAGGTGCTGAATTTCAAAATAGGGGCAAGTCTTGAAACAAAAGGAACTTTATTTCTACTTTTTTTCCTTTGGAATTTGTCGTGTGTATGTAATTAAATATATGGTAATAACATAAGAAAATACATTTATCAGTTGGAATTGTAAAAAGTCAAGAGAAAAAATGCTCCAAAATAATGTCTTTTTAATAAAATTTTATTAAAAATATTAAAATAATATGTTTTTAAATTGAGAATGAGATTGTTTTGATTTTTTTTCTATGATACTCCATTAAAATGA